AAATTGCTCTTTTAAGGAGGTCTTAGTGTATGATTTATAAAACTTTCTTCTGAAAGAGGTTTCTAGAAAACCAGCCTGGAGTCAAAAGTATAATACCTGGGGCATTGGAGAAGACGGAGGAACTAGGATTTTCTACAGAACTACATGAGACCCTGGCTCCCAGTTTCAGGAGATAAGGGGAAAGTAAACAGGAACTAAGAGAAAAACAGAACTCAGCATCTGAGGTTAAAGGAAGGGGCAGCTGCACACACCAGCTCCTCTCATCCAACCCCAGCTTATGAAAAAGGCAGCAATGAAAATCCCCTATAAACGCTTCAAGGCAGGTGACTACAGGAACAGAAGAAGCTTAGAGGTATCACAAAAACAGCTAAACACCCCAATCTAATAATTATATTTTCATGTTCAATGTGCTATCAATATTTTTTTCCTCTAGGTGTATTCTATTATTTAAACCAAAAGGTTTTTGATAAATTTCCCACTTGAAGGAAAGCCTTTGGTTACTCTTAGCACTGAGACCCTCATGGTGTGGTGCATGGCATGAAAACTCTAAAAGCTTTTGGCTAAGAAGTTTGCAGGGTGCTGATGCCATGAGGATGGTTATTTGCTCAAAGCAATGTTTTCCATGAACCATGTCCACCCTGTCATTCAGCACAGCATTGACTGACACCCGCTCTGAGCCAAGGGCACACGAGGCTCTGCCAAGCACGGTGAGCCTTCCACCCAGCCAGGGATCTGCAGCACAAAGTCAGGATCTCTGACTTTAAAGGATTTATGCATTATTGAATGACAATAGGCAAGTAACTAACACCTTCACTCAATTTGTATCCAATTTGCTTTTTCCCTAGAGCTACCTGTAGGCAGTGTTCAGGAAATATTTACAGGAATAGTTAGAAAAGTGGCTCATTTAAATACAGCAGGTTAAATATATTCCCCAGTGTTAGGAGCCACGAGCTGCTGGCCACGGTTCTCTTGTCCCAGCATGTCCTGGTCACCTTATTAAACCAGAGTGGAAGACTTGCAACATTTTAAGAGAAAATTTTTTCCATAAATTTAATTTCAATTCTTATTTTACTATGCATAAAACTTTTGGTTCTTCTTACATAAAACCCATTGCACAATACTTGTCAACATCCAGTGACTCAGTTAATGGGTAGGTGGGAATATATGACAGATAAAATTTGTTAATGGAAAACTTAATGAGAGTATCAAACAAAATACCTATTAGCATTAGGAAGGACTGAATTATTTTTAAATTATTACAAAAAAGAAAAAAAAACAAGCAACATATTCAAATGTGAGGTGAGGAGTGAAAAAGAGTATTAAAAGTTACTTCACCATAGAAACATACGATGTCATTGGTACACAAGAATAGTGTGGTTGCCTTAAGCTATACCCAGCTACAAGACTTCAAGCTGCTATAAATAAGGTTGGGCAAAATTCTGGGGCTGAAAGATAAAATTAACAGAGTTTTTAATCTCAGGAGAAAACATGGTTAAACATTATAATTACCGAGCCCAGGTATTTTAATACTGTGTTAATGTTAATGACCTTATTCATCAAAAGACTTATGAAAAGGATGACTAAACCTTAAGTGGGGAGAATAAAATATATTCTGCAAAAACAACAAAGAATTTCAGGGATTCATGGCTCATGTTTAAAACTCAACACACAAAGTGATCTGACTCATAACTCTCTTCTCTGTAATGTTAGAAATCTAGGAGATACTGAAAATCGTTTAGCAATGTTAGGGAGAGCAAAGGATTTAATTAAACCAGAGTGTAATCCTTTTAAGGAATTTCAAAGCTAGATCAGTGTCACTGTAAAGATTCATTTGATGGGTTTTCTTTACCACCTCTCTTCCCCGTTTTTAATTGTAATATCACTATATGAAAAATTAATCACTTTAAATATACACATGCCAAATTCTTGTCAAGAATCTCATTATCTCCAGTCTTAAATTGCAAGATCTCCTCTGGCCTACTGCTATCCATTCAGAGTGCTGCTGCAAAAACAGGTGGTTTACCAGGAGTTAAACAAGTGTCCACAATGGATAGGAGCAGAGTAAAACAGGATTTCATCTCACTGGGAATATATCCTCCCTCTTGGAATATTCATTTGAGGGTGTTCTGTCTGCCATTTGTCCTCTGCCTGCTTGGCCAAGGTGAGTCGGTGCTTTTCCATGCCCAGGAATGCAAGGAGCTCAGGACATGGACCACAGGCTGCTCCAGGAGAGCCCAGGCTGGGCTGCAGAGCTGCCTGGCAGAGGGCACACCCTGTCCTGGGAGCCTGCAGGGACAGGGAGCTGTCTGTCTGTCTGTCTGCAGGGGAAGGAAGGTGGCATTCCCCAAGCAGACCACACAAGAGTGACTACTAGTCAGAGGGGTGAGTGTGTGTTAAGAAAGGCATAACAAAATCTATGGCTTTCAGAGACGTTCTCTCTTCTGCTTTCATGACTTTTGAGAGAGAAAATTAGAAGAGCAAAAAGCATTCAAGGAAAAGGGAAAAAATAAAAAAACTGAAGAACTGAACTAAGCACTAGAAGCATCAGTGCTGATCTATAAAGAAAATGAAAACAAGAAAAACATCCACAAAATTTTCTCCATCTTTTCCTTTAGTTTTCTCTTTTTCTATTCTGCAGCTTTTCATGTATCTAGAAACCACCAACAGAAATATTTTTTTTCATTCTTACAGTGCAAGGGGGTAGGTGAGTTTTCATTAGGTTTTCACAGTGATCTTCTCTGTGTTCTCTATATTTTAATTGCCTGTTTAGCCTCTGTGAGCTCCATCTACAGCACCACATGCAGATCCATCGCTCCACTGGCCAGATCCACAGGAGAGCTCTTTGGCACCTTTCTGTGATGAGCAGAATACAAATGTGCTCCAGTTAAGTGGTTGGTAACTGTGCAGAAACACACCTTTCCTTTCAAGTTGAGAGAGAACAGAAAACAGAAATCCCTGCAGAGGAAGCCTGAGCAAGGGACTCCCTGTCCCAGAATCTGGGGCAAGTCTTATGATGATTAATAGAAATGTGGAATGATTGAAAACACAAATGAAGAGCTCTCTCTTTTCCTGTAATTGCTGCACTGGATTATGAAATTAAAGTCATCAAGCAGGAAAGATTCTGTACAGATTTCCAGAGATACTGCATGTTCTAGCTAATTGTGTCAGCCTGGATTAGCTGATTAGCATAATTAATCTAAACTTCTGATTACCCGAAGGAAAGAGGTGTTCCTGGAGGCACAGGTGAAATATAATGACCGAGACTTCAGCACACTAATGTACAGCAGCTAGGAAGTATTTCAGAGTCCTGTTTGCTTGTCTGTTGCATTCTTAAAAGGTCTGAGGGGAATGAGGAGAGCACTTGTGCTCTTTGCTGGGCACAGTGTTGGAAATCAGACTCAGGAATGACAGGAGAGCTGTGCCAGAGTACTGTGGTACATTTACAAGGGTTTTTGGTACAACAACCCTCAATGACCTCAAACCTGGCCTCAGACCTAACCTAATCCTATCCTAAACAAAAGCAACCAAAAGCACAAACTATATCTGGAAAAGAAGCCTAACAACAGCCTAAAAGGAGGATCTGTGGTGATGTTCCAGTAGAGTTTTGTAAAGTCACTCAAAAACTATTTTAAAAATTCCAGAATTCCAGAGCAGAAGTTGATGGATACATTTAGGGTTTTTTTATTGACAGTCTGAGTCATGTGTTTTCTTGTACCCAATGATAAATCTGTACAACAGCAAAAAAATCTAATTTGATGATTTTGCTATTTTCTACTGCCTCAGGAAGGACAATTACATAAGTCATAATGGCAATGTAAAATATGTTTAATTATTACATGTAAAATATTTCTTAAGAAAATATTAGAATCAATTTTAATTGAGTGAAATTTGCATTACTGGAAACCTTCTGTTTGTTCTCAGTATGGGCACTGAGGATGAAACATTGCTTATTGCACTCCTCATCTCTCTTCTGCAGAGAATAATTATGGGATTTTCACTTAAAACTCCCTGCTACCTCCATCCTTTGTTCTCTGTTGATACTGCCAGAAAAGATGAGGCTCATCAACTACAAATTGGATTTAAATAGCAATTTTATGGCCACATAAGTGACCATGCAGCTAAGGCCAAGAAAACCCAACTTGTTATACTCTGTTAGGAGTCCAGATCAGGGGAAAAGTCTTTCAAACAGGCTTATCAGTCTAAGAGAGTTTTCTCCTGGTTTTTTTTGGTCATTTAAAAAAAAAATTTCAAATGCTCTCAAACTGTTGTCAGTGAACATGAGTTTCAGACAATGAAAATGAGTTTCCATCCCACAAGAAGGAGCAGCAAAGGAAAAAGATAAAAGAGACTCCTCCAGTACAGGGTGTGTAACACAGCCTGCACTGGCACATGAAATATTCTCACAGGTTTGCTGCTGCCTTGTCCAGTTCCTGTACCAGGAACAGGCCATCTGCCCTTCCAGGAAACAAACCACAAAGATATTTAGTCAAAAATCCAAATACAAGTGTTTTGTCAAGATATGCCCAAAGCTGCACAGCCTTTCAGGGGAAAAAATCCAATGACTGACAGAGCAGATGGAACACGAGACACTTCTTCAAACTGAAATCCAGTTGCTCTGAGTGGGGGAAGGTACTGGAAACATAGACATGAACATGTCACTCTGCAATAAAAACTGTCAGCACATTTGAGAAGTTCATTAAAATGTGAAGATGTTCTCCCCAAACTGTTTCATAAACCCTTTGCCACCTTCTGAGTGAAAGAACAAGGAGTTTGACCTAAAATTGTCAGAAACATAAGGAAACTTTGAAATACCATACTTTACAATCCAATGTCCAGGGGCTCAACAGGGACAGCTGTTTCATTAATCCTACATTGGTTGCCAGTCCTCCCTGCACATGCTGCTATTCAGGTTGCTATTGACTAGTCTCTAAACATAAACATTATGGATTCATAAATCAATAATTGCATTAGAGTAGCCCTTTGTGATACTCCTGAGCAGAAAAGCAGCTGTCCTTTTGGATGCACAGCTGCTGCCTCCTCCCAGGGATGAAGACACATTTCAATCCCTCAGAGCTTCATTTGAGTCCTGAAATTGCTACACACTGACAAAGTTTTGTGGCAACCTGAGAATAAAACTAAGAAACAAGGGAAATCAAATGGCACAATATTTCAAAAAGGGCCTCCACTTTGCCTCAGGGAGACAAAGCATCCTGTTGCTCAGGACATGCCTTGAAAAAGTATTGAGAAACAGCTGTCTTGTCCTGAAGCTGGAAGGTTTGAGTGCTTTCAAACACCTGCTTAACTCCTTGCAAGTAGTTTGTTCAGTCATTCTGTGCCAGGAAGATCTGCTGGATGCTGTGAGTATTACGCTGAACAAAAGGGAGACCTGGGAAGGAGAAGCTCATGTTGTCCTGTGTTGCCAGGGGCTGGTTTAATTTTGAAAACCTCACCATACTGCACCATTTTTCATGTTAAATGGAGTTTCTTTGCTTTAGATGCTCACAAGATTTCAAATCAGAAGAGGACATTCCTCCAGGCTAATGTATTAACCTTCAAAGCACGAGCTCTCTGAAGTCAAGCACTCACTGCCTTCCAGGGGCTGAGAGAAGAATGCCTTCAGGTTCACTCAGAGCTGAATGTCCAACAAATTCATTGCTGTCAGTCAAACACAAGCCACACACAGCCCTTGGCTTCCATAGGAAATAACAGGAAACCTTCTACAGTTCCCAAGAAAACCAAGGAGTCCAAGCACCCAGTCACACACCCAGCTCCAGGGAGGTCACCCATCCCACAAGCCAAGTGCTGCTTTCTTGCTCCCAGCTTTTCTCACAATGGGTTTTGGCTGTAGGAGAGACACAATAGCATTTTCTAAGCATTTACTTACTTTTCCCAATGCTTATTTTAAATGAAGACAGGTATTTATAACATACAGGTAGATGCTTTAGCTGATCCACAGAAAGCTATGGATGGAAAGGCAGAGTAGCATTATTAGAAGAATTGTGCTGTTCATATGAATTTAACTTTGATTTTCCAGAGAACTGATCAAACTGGTCACCTCTCTCTTTGCTATGCTGGTGATGCCCTGGAATATTCCAAGAAATGGCACATTCCATGCCAGAAAAGCAATTCCATTTTCAAAAGCTAGAATACCTGGGCTAATTAGAGTGGCTCAGATACTTTGATCAGAGATAAATTAGTGCTTTGTATAAGATCCTGCTCTTAGTTAACTTCTTTTACTAAATTCCCACACTAATGCTTTCTAATTTCACATGGGAGAGAATGAGGGAAGATGAAAGAAAGTTTTTTTAATCAACTTGCTGAAAATTTAAGAATAGTTTGCTGTCTGTTTGGCTTTATAAAAGCACATTATGATTTTGCCTTATTAACACCTTTTTTTATTTATACCACAATTTATTAAGCCATTGCATGGTATATAAAACAGGAGAGTCTCAATGCATCAGATGTTTTATGCCCCATTCCATATTTGTTATTTTCTCACTGCAGTGCTGAGAGCAGGGGTCAAAGTTCTGGTGAAAACATAATAAATTGTTCTGGTAATAACTGCAGCAGTCAATACTCACTCTCCAGCTGCATTTCACATGAGTAACTCTATTAAGTTTAGCAGGACAATTCTGTACCTAAGGAGGTTTTAGGCATCTTCACATTCCTGTGCTCTGGGGTTTAATGTGCTTGCTCAGTCTCCCAGGTCCTTACCACTATTAGTACTGTGGTTATAAAAGCCAGGGCTTCTGGGTGAAATGATTTAGGAAAGGCTGAGGAATACATGGCAGAGAAAGAAGTAAATGAGTTCAACCTTACTTCCAAACTGCCTTGGATCATATTGACACAGTGGCATCTGTTGAGATAACAAAACAAAAAAAATCAACTATACAAACAAACACACACACAAAAAAGAAAATAAGAAAATAAGAGTGATTGGTTAAAAATTTAACAGCAACAACAACAAAAAAAAGCTTGAAAACTTAAATTTTGATGACTATTCCATTTTTCCCATCCATAGGCTTTTCTAGCTTTACCAAGATCTGAGGATCTTGGGTTACATTTCTTCCATTTCCTTGTTTACAGAAAATTCCCCCTGAATACCAAGGAAAAGACTCACTTAACTACTATGATATAATAACATTATTTTCAAAATTGGGACTTGGGGCATACTGGAAGCCTAGGACACTCATATAATTATATAAAATCTACAAAAATTCACCACAAGAGCTTCACCAGCATGCCTGCTCCTTAGAGACCCCACACCCTGGCTCTTTTTCATGTACTCAATCCCTACTGGCAGAAGACATCTCTAGGATTTCTTTATAGCCAAGTGCCCTGTACCAGTGTGAATCCTTCAGCCATACTGACACTGGGGCTGATGCCACACAAACCCCACTAATTACTGACAAAGGCAAACCTTGCTGCTCTCAGAACAGATGTGACAGGCCCCATTTCAGGCCTCAAACAATCACAGCAAGAACAAAATTACACTCATCATAATTTAACTTACTTTTTTAAAAATATAAAAGTCATTTGCAAATTGTCATGGAGAGTTTTTTCATCTGGAATTTTAGAGTCCAATATTAGTTAGACACATGAACCAAAAAAAATATACAGATCTGATGTAATTATAACAGACACTTGGATACAGAAGACAACTGATTCATTTTAAAAAATGCAGTTGAAATTTATGTACAACACTTACAATTTTACAGGCACAGGTCACAAGCATCAGTTACCTCAGGCAGTTGCAGATAGGCTGGAGAAAGAGACAGGAAGAAGAACAAGCAGAGACCCAATTCCCACCTCTCAACAGATGGTTAAAAGCTGTTGGCAATTTTGATCCACTTCCATCACTGTGTCTAGCAGACTTGAGCTATTCACATGCTATAAAACCTGCAATGTGTTTCTCCTCTCACTTCCTATTTCTTCACTTGGATATCAGAGCCATCAAGTACAGTTTTGGGGGTTTTCCTTTCTTTCTTTCTTGCATTGGGACAGGCACATTTCCTTAACCTGGCATGTGAAGGTGCAGGAAAGGCCAGCTCAGTGATTGCATTGGAGACAAAGGCTATTTCCACTGTGTCACACAGGGGATATCTGTTACAGCTGAGCAGGGAGGAGACACAGCAGGGATGCAACCATTCAGAGAAATTCACTGCATTAAAAGTAAATCAGTCACCATCACACCCAGCTGTTACTGTCACTGGATTTAATAAAGCAGCTTGCTTTATTTTCATTGTCATGCCTCTAACCCTGGGTAGTTTACCTTGCCTAAAAGAAGCTGTGTGTTTGCTGAGGGTGAGAACTGCAGAATGAGACAATCTCAGGCTGGTTAAGAATGGCAGGGCCAGACCTCTGGAAGCTCATCTGGTCCATGGCACCTGCTCCAGCAGGGCCACCTGGAGCCCAGGACAGTGCCCAGAGAGCTTCTGGAAATCTCTAAGGAGGAAGACTCCACAACCTCCTTGAAAATTGTGCCAATTCTTAGTTATCGTCACATCAAACAAGTGTTTCCTGGCGTTGATCTTTAAAGATTGCTTCAAACCAAAACAATTCTATGATTCTGTGATGTTCAGAAGAACCTCTAGTGCTTTAGTTTGTGTCCATTGCCTCCAGTCCTTGCTCTGGGCACCACAAAGAAAAGTCTGGCTCTGTCCCGTTTGCATTGTCCCTTCAGGCATTTAGATTCATTGATAAAACCCTCCTTCTCTTCTCTAGGCTGAACAGCCCCAGCTCTTTCAGCCTTTCCTCACAGGAGAGATTCTCCAGTCCCTTTGTCACCTTTGTAGCTCTTTTTTTACTGGATTCTTTCAATAGCTTGGGCCATTGAAATAGTGTCTGGCTCTTGCTGGGGAGCCCACAGCTGGACCCAGTGCTCCAAATGTGGCCTAGGTCACATAGATCATCCAGATCCAAATTCATAGCACATAATAGAAGAGAAACATGAATGTTCAGACTGACTAATTGCTGTAGCTCATGGAGGCATTCCTAAAGAACAGTGGAAGCCCCAGCAATCATCTCCTTGCAGTGGTGTCCCAGTGCCACAGGCTGCTTTCCCAGCCTGCCCTGACACTGTGGCACAGGAGAGCTCCCAGGAGCTGCAGACACAGAGCAGGTCAGGCCCTGCCTCAGCTGAGCTCCTGCCAACCCAGGCCATGCCCAAACACAGCAAAGCTCAGAAATGCTCATAACCCACAACACCCTGGGCTCCAGCTGGCAGCAAAGCCTAGCACGAATTCATAATAATCCTTCAGATCACCTGGAAAGTCATTTCATACATGTTTAATATTCACCTAATACAAATATGAAGGAAGGTGCATGTCCACATAAAGAGGTATTTCGGTTTCATGAACAGCATCATGTTCAGCAAAGCAAAATGTGCATTTTGTCTGTCCCTGGGGTTTGTTTGCAGTCCATGACAGGTTACAGTCAGGAAGGAATGCTGTCAGCTGCAGCCACATGCATATGGGAATACCTTATATTTATCTCCCTGGCAGAACATTGTGATCATTTGAGAAAACTTTGAGGTATAAAAGAGGACACTTCAAGATTTAAGGATGATCAGGAATTAAATCCTTGCTGTTAGAAGATGTGCATTGCCATTTCCCCATAACATTCAGAACCCTATTCTAAAATAGAACTTAAAAAAAATACAAATGCACATACTTGAAACAGAAACCTTCTAAAATAAGATTTCTGAAACATATTTCTTGTTCTCTGTGCACTCACTGATGCCATGCTAATCAGATGACTCCATAAATTTTATATGTCGTAACAAAAATTACAAGTAACATGCTAAAATAACCAACAATTCTTCACCATGTAGTTATGTTACAATTGATGGCAAATGCCTTTTGTCCTTTTTCATTTTTTAATATAATAGGTGTCCTTCAACTTGCCCAGAGCATGAGCAAGCAAATTTCCTTCTTGGAGCTAAGGCACATGATCACTTAGGCAAGTTCTGCCTCACACACACCAGTGTAAAACCAATAACAATGAAATCCAGGTTTGAAACCTGGAGACTGAAGTGAAAACGAGTGCATGAATCAATTCCCAGGAATTAAAAAGAAATAGATAATGGTCTTCCTAAGCAGCCCCTAATATGTTTGTCTTTCCCTGGAGATAGGATTTGGAAAATCCTTGTTGTTTACTTAGCCTGGCATGCCTTTTTATCACAAGCATCAATGCTGCATACTCTCCTTCACAAACTCACTGTGGGCAACCTTAAAACTCATTAAATTTTGTCTCCACTTTTCCTGTCTGCCTAGTCCAGAACAAGGCATTCATCAGAGCAAGAAACCATCTCATAATTTCTGCTTAATACTAAATTTAATTATAATCAGTTTATTACAACTTTACTTTGTGTTTTCTTTTAGCTCAAATCCTCCTTTTTCCCCTCTAGTACACAGTTTCTTGATATATTAGAGACAGCAATTACATGTCATACTTTCCTGGCTTCTTGTAAGATTGACTTTTTTCATAGTTGGCTTGGCAGTTTTTCCTTGAAACTGCTGACCAGGATAGTTTAGAATATCCCAGATTTCAGTCCACTACTGTCTTTTATGAAGGCATTAACTTCTGCTATAAAACCTTGCCATGCAACAGCTCCTCGAATCACATGCACATTTTTTCACTTTTATCTCTCACTGCAGCTAAAAGTTTCCTTCTGATCAGCAAGAAATCTTTGCACAGTGGTGGCCTTCTGACTCTTGATTATAATTGCTGAGTCTCCAACTTCAGCAGATTTTCCTGGGCACAAAGGCTATATTCCTATACTTTCATCTGATTTCTATCATTACAGCCCTTAATATCATTCCTTCTTCCCTGTTTAGTATTCTACTACTTCTCCAAATTGATGTCATCTTCAAATCTGAGTTATAAGCAAGTTAATTAGCACATTTGTACTTGTTATGGCAAGATCACAAGAAAAAGTTTCCTGGGAATTCTAAACACATCAGTTCAGCACTTCCTCCTCCACTGCAAACCACCATTGTGTGCTGTTTACCAACTTCCACTGACCTTTGAATTTTTGTATAAAGACGTGCACAGATCATTAGTTCTGCACCTCAATTAATAAATTTCTATATATCTCTATGTTCCTGAAATCAACACTGATTAAATTCTGCCTCAGTTATCTTCTCAAAAAGAATAACTTATGATCACCTGATTTAAAACTGGTAAAGGAGCAGCATGTCATATTCCACTTCCCGTTAAAAAATTGTTATTTATTCACTCTTACTGTTAAAAACTGTTCTAAAGACATTTTATTGAGAACAGAGTCAAGAGCTCACAATGCCTGGTTTACTTTCTTCCACTCCTGAATTTTTCACAGCTTCAGCTTTTGTAGTACAAAGTCTACTCCTTTTTTTACTTCAGTTTAATGTAAGAAAATTTTAATCAGTGATTTCCTGTTCTATTGTATACTTCTATGAAATCCTCATTAATAACCAAGAGCAGAGCTAAAATAGAGTTTTTCACAAATTCAGCAATTGCTTTGTAAGAAATGTGTCACCTATCCCACTCCAGAATATGCAGACACTACTACTGATAGAAAAATTTGTTCTTCAGTCTACATTTAGGAAATCAGCCTTTTTCATAAAGGACACAAATCCCTGTAGGATAAGTCAATTTTTGACTCGTCACCCCATCACACTATACTGCACTAAAAATACAAAAGGATTAATGCTATTAAAACATCACATCTCTAAAAAGAAACTTATCAGAAATAGACACAGAAATGTCCCAGAAAACCTTCATAGAAACAGTAATTTTCTGGTCATGACCTCTTCTTGCCATGAGTGAGCAAAATACCCCCATTTCCTTCACTAGCCCTGTTTGGCTGGGGGATAGGATGAGAGTTAGATCCCAGCTCCATAAATCCTACCATCACAAGCACAGATGTTTTGGTTTTCATTTCCAGCTCTCAGAGTGTCTGTGTGCATTTCAGCACCTCTGAGTACCCAAGTAGGGGAGAGGCAGATTGAAGGAAAGCCCAGTTTATATTCAGGACACATGAATCATAAACTACTCCATGCTACCCATATGATTCAAGTACTGGGCATCATTTCTCAACAAACTGAACTTATTTCCGTCTCCTTTCATCCATGATTTGCTTCCAATTCCTTGACTGGCACAGGGCAGTGGTGATGGCAGCACAGCAGACAGGCTGAGGAGGAGGAGGGAAAGCCTGGAGATGTAGCTGAGCTCTGGCCATCACTAAATATGGGCTTGTCACTCATATGATTGCAGAGAATAAATCTGATAAATGCATATGACACTAAAGAATGACTGCTGGTTCTAAAGGAAACTGCCCCTAAAATCAGCCTTCTTCTTGAAGAGCCTTAAGATTTTTCAGAAACAAAAAGAACACACAAATAATAACAAGGACACCATGGTATGATGTCCCATAAAACAGCTGTGTAATTAATGTTTCATCAGCCATGGTATTCTGCTGTGTTCTGTGAAGTAGATTCTTTGCTATTTAGAGCAGTTTCCTTATCTTTGGGAATCCATTCTCTTTCTGCACATGGAAATACAATCTTTGCATGACTGAAGTTACTACAGATTCTGTGTAAGTCCTGTCAACACACCCATTTCCCAGAGATTTTACTAATTAATATAAATAACAGAGGAACTGTACAAATTATGTGCTATTCTACCTCTTGCCCAAATATTTTTCCACGTGATACAGGCTTGGAGGACTAAGAAGACTAGAAATATTTTAACTTGAACTATATTGGTCACTGACCTTTAACTATTTTCGCTCTTTCATGCAAATCTGTGTCTTGGAAACTCACAAAATTACCTTTTGTTTCCAGGAATATCTACACAATCACATACCAATTAAGAAGCCAGTTCTGACATCTCCAAATGTTAGGATTTATGGTAAAATTAACACAAATTTTCAAAAGCAAACAGCATGAATAATCAGGAATTTTCCTTTACAGAATTTTTTCTTCAAAATATTTTGATAGTTTTTGAAACTGAAAATTATTCAATACTTTTTTTGCAGGAGATCTGTCTTTCCAGGAGAGTTTCATAGGTACCTGGTTGAACTGTCCTGAAACCTTCCCTTTGAAGTCAATTCAGTGATGAACTGACCTTGCCCAGTTGTGGCTCACTGGCTTATGGCAACACTGATATAACAGCTTACAATTTCAAATATAAGTACTGATGTCCCAAGGTAGATGTCATGATTTGCAAAAAGTAGTAGAGACTGAAAGTCTGTGTGATTTGTTAAAAATGTATTGTAAATCCTGAAAATTCACCCCTCTCCATAGTTATTGGTAGACATTTTGCTAAATAAATTCAAGTTTCTAAAAGGCTTTAGCAGAACTGACCAGACTCTTTCCTTCTAGTTTTGCAAAAAAATAACTACAAAAAACTTACAGGGAAAAGATTGGACAGGAAAGATTTATGGAGAAAAGACTGGACAAGAATAAGGGCACTGTTTCAGAATAAGCTCACCCTGGATCTCAGCAGCGGCCTTTGAAGCATGATCAGACATCCTGAGGCTTTGCTGGATGTGCACAGCTGCTGGCTGAAGGAAGCCTGGGAATCCATCCATGATTGCTGTTATTTCTGAAAGCACAAAACACATCTTTTCAAAAGGCAAGTCCTAAGTAGTCCAAAATAGATTAAAAGACAGAGAATTATGATTAAAGTTAAGGTTTACCAATTCACTCTTCACTGGTTTTAGATGAACAGTGACAGAATGCCGAGCTGTGTTTGGATTTTTGAGGGATTTTTTCCCTTCCTCATAGTTAATCACAAGACATAGGGAGAAGTTCTGGCCACACATAAGAAAGTGCTGTGGGTTTTTCTAGGAAGGAGATCACGAGCAATGAGCAAGGTGTCACTCTAAAAGCTCAGCAGAAAGACTCACAGCCTCTTGCCTCACTCCCCCACACCTCTGTCCTTTGCACTGCTCTGTGCTGGAGAGGCCAGAGGGAAAATGAGGCCTGAATAGGGCAAGAAGTTACAGCAGCCAGACAATGAGTCAAAGCCATCAAACGAATCTGACATCAGAGCATGAGCACAAAGGCCTTCTGCTTCTGAACTGTAGTTTCCAATACTGCAAAGCATTCACAAAAGGGGTTTTCTCTAAAGCACAATAAATCTCTTCCTCTGTCCTTTCAAAACTTGAAGTTTTGATCAAAGTTCAAAGTACAAAGTACGTGGCCTGTAACATTAGATGAGAAAGCAAATTCATCTTGTCCCAGGGGAATTATGGCAACTGACTCTAAATCCCAAACACAGATCTGCACACAGTTCTGCCTCTGGAGAGATTAAGAGATGTAAGCAGACAACACAAAAGAGAATCATTTGGTTCAATGTGCTACCAGAAGGTTCTAAGATGCTACAGTAATGAAGATTTAAGAGACATGAATAGAATTTTTCCTGTACATTACTGACCTGTTACCAAGTAGTAATTAAGAAACTAGAAAATAGGTAACTAATAAACAGAAAGTAAATAGGGCAGCAACTTTTAATTTTGAGGCTCATTCTGTGATATTCCCACTAGATAGTACCAAAAATTACACCTAATCTTTAGAATAAAATCAAATCTTGCAAAAAGGTAGGAAAACAATTTCTGTCAGCCTCCAGCATGTAAACTAATTTAGCATAATTCCCAGGCTTTATAACTGCCCTGCTTTCAGCAAAACAATCCAACAGGCACCATTCAGTTGCTATACTGCAAAAGCACAAAAATAAAAGCAACAGAAAAGTACATTGACAGGAGGATTGCAATGTTTGTCTGCTGTAGGGCAGGTATGAATTTTTTTATAGTAACACCATCAAATATAACCTACTCTGCCTCCTGAACTGTAATAGAAAAAATAAAAGCATTTGTAGCTTCAGATACCCTTAAAAGTATTGGGTTTAAAACAAGCCTCCTGCAATAACACTGCTAAACTAAAGTTTAACTTTTGGCATCAGAGAACTCCTTACATGTCTTTTTGCATGGAGCATCAGGAACCCATTTATACAGTGCAGCAGATCATCTTCAACACTTGCAACACTCTGAGCTGCTGATATTAAAATCAGCTTCTGCAGTATAAATTTAATTCATATCAAATGCCTTGGACTGAAAAAAGAAATATCTTATATGATAAGTGGCAGTAAAGATTTACTCATATTTTAGGGATCAAATTTCTTACAGAGTGCACTTCAAGTAAGGAAAATTATTTTCTGCATAAATGAGAACATGACACTGGACCAGGCATTTAGGAATCAATCAGTGACATGCAACTTTTTTATCCATCATTAGAAAGCCTTGGAAGTCTGCAGCCCTGTGCTATTTCTGTGTGTATAACTATGCCTTCCTCCAGCAGATCTGCTTTTCACATTCCACCTGGTCTGAAATCCAACTACTAAATGAGAACATTAAAATCAAAAAGGAAAACTGATGGAAAGGACGAACTCCTTGGAGAGAGAAGCAGTTATTCAAAGCATCTTGTTCTGGGAATGTGAACTTGAGGAAGAGGTACGATATAGTGAATTCCATGGATGTGAACAGCAGCTAGCAGCTTCCTTTAGAACCTGCTCTGACAGGCCCCAAAACAAACAGGATCTCTCTCATATAATCTTTCCAATGCATTAGCAATGGCATTTTCCCTAAAACTTAGATCAATTTGAAGCATGTAATTAGATAAAAAATCCCATGAAATCTGCATATCTAACTTCTCTGAGTTTACATTTTTGCCTTCTCACAAGGTGTTAAAATTCTTCTTGTAGCACAGATCAACTGCACTGTGTCATTACTAGTGGAACCAGAATCCCTCTGTTGCCAATTCTTCACCAGACACCTCCTGACAAACCCTAAACTGCACATCAAGCTGAAGGAATGTCACATATCCAACCATTTAGCAGCAGTAACAATCCATCTGTTGTGCATTATTACTTCTATGAATCATAAACTTCATTTTAAATTAGGTGATTAAATAGTAGCATAATTCACTTAGCTGTTAAAGGGATAATGCTTTGTTTGTGGTTCCAGCTGTTTACCTGAATTACATTAGCTGAAGCTCAGGGCATAACTGGGAAAGTCAGTTAATGACTGGAAACCAACACCAGGTTTTGTGCTTAAAAGTCAGATGAGCAAGGGAGCTTGGGAGATAAAAATATTGAAGCAACAAACATAAGTTAAGGTTTTCATTCCAAGTGTTGCACACTTTTGAGTGATAAGGGATAAAAAGAGAATGACTGGGGTTTCCATTGTTTTTCTAGAGCAAAGCACCTTAGTCTTTCCCTTGACCTCATATTGGGTACAGGTACCATAGGCCTGAGTGGTGGGATGGTAGCAACACCTTACCAAAAATTATTTCATTTCCATTGCACAAGTTTACTTTTCTCATTTCACTGATCAAGCACAGCCATATTTTCTAATGTTAACTCAAAAGAAATAAATGTGCTTTTTCAAAGAAAAGCAGAAAAAATGCTTATGAAGCACTCACAGAGATTCAGTTTTTTCCCAAATATTAAACAATTGTGTTTGGCAGGGACATGCCATGAAATAGGATGCATTGCAAACATTACCTTTGGTTCCACTAGGCTGGCATCTTTCACATTTATTCTGTTGTGGGCCTGCATTTATAAGTGAAAAGTGGAGAAAGTCCCTGTTTGACTGCTTCTGTCAGACAACTTCTCACATCTGTCCTTCTGCCCCAAGGCCCAGGACTGTGTGTAGCTGCAGAAGCTGTCAGCCAGGAGGGTGCCTGTGAGCACTGCTGCCAGGAATCCTGCCAGGACTGCAGGACCCAAACACACCCCCTGGCAGAGGATCCCTTCAAGTGCAGAGCTCATGGCACAACTCGGGCTCTGAATTCATGTCACCTGCAGTGTTATGGGGTCTTGTGACAGCTCAGCCACAGTACATCAAAGGATTTGGGGCTTGATGGACCAATGGAAAGCTCTTTAAAAAATACTTAGAAGAAACTGAAGACTGGGAACACAACATTTGCTTGCAGTGATTTAAGTGTAGATTGTAAATGATATCTCCTCACAGTGCAAAACAACTGTGCTATCAGAAACACAAATGTTGTCATCTTATTGCAGGGGTTCCACACTGCTGTCTCCTTACCACAACAGTTCCACACCTTCTTGGTGTTTCTCGTGGTCCGCTCCTCACAGCACTGACTCTTTCTTCTTCCCAAAGCAGCCACTGACTCCAGTTCCCTTCTCACCCAGCCACCCCACTCTTTTCTAGCACTCTGCTTCTCATTGCTTACAGCTGTGGCCTGGTAAAGTCAGGCCTGTAACTGATCTTTGCTAATTGGCCCAGCTGCAGCTCCTTAGGGGTGAGATTACTTTCTACACTAGCTTTAGTTTCTTATATTCTATCCCCCTACACACAAAAAGTTTGAAAGAAAGGGATGAAAAAGGCACTGAGTAATACCATCCTCCCTCTGCTCAGCTGCAGAGTTGGAAGGGTGCCTGTTCCTTAGCATTGCCATGATTTTGTGCCTGTTACACTTTCTGATGCTTAATAAATTTACCCTGACAAGGGAAGTATAATCTTTCCTGAGATAGCATGGTTATTATCTCCCCTAGATGATGGATCTGTTCTCTGCTTTATGGGAGTGGCAAGAACAGAGAGGCAGCTTAGCTAACCAGTGGCTGCAGCTTCAACCCTTTGGTGTAAGCATTGCAGGTTTTTATTAGGAGGAATTCACAATGTTGCTTTTGAGCTTTTCTTTTTTGCTCCCTGGTTTTGCAAATTTTCTTTTCTACTAGAAAACAATAGTTCCCATTGCATTTGCTGCAGGCAATGTCAGAATGTCCTCATCCAAATGGCTCATCAGCCTCATTCAGATCACTGTCAGTCATGCCACGGGCAGATCCGTAGGACAAGACATCCTGAAATGTTCTCCTAGCTACATAACTGCCCTAATAATGACATGCAGCTCCTGTAGCAGAGTGCCTGCAGCAGCTGATAAATTCAGAGTCTACTTGCTGACCAGTTCTCACAGTGCTGTAATAAATGGCAGGTGTAGATAAAGGGGGGAACAAGGTTCTGCTACAAATTCCTGCCCTTAGAATTACTTGTCTTTTATTAACTAGGAGAATACAGAAGTGGTGAGTACAGCAGCACTTGAATGAAATTTATAACAAAACACCAGTGATGTGCAGAGGAGCAGGCTCTGCAGAATGAGCTATTCAGCCCAAGGAAATGACTGCACAGTGTATGTTTGGGAACTATGGATTACTACTGACCTGCCATCTGGCACTAAAGGAAACAGTGTCACACTTCAGCACAGAGCAGGCACCAGGGAGCCTCTGATTACTCTGCCAGACAATACTTTGCTTGAATGGAATATATTGTACAGTCTCATTAATTGCATATTTTACCTCCTCACGACTGTAATAGTTTGCTATAAAAATAAGGTTTATTTACCAGCACAACAGAAAAAGAGACTGGAAACACAAAACTGAGAGACTCATTAATTCGTGAAAATTTTCCATCACAAAAAGGTAGGACATTGCCAGTCTTAAGCTCATTCCAATAGATAACCATTTAGAGAGAAATTTATGCACACCCTGAACTTCCAGACCAAAAATTGTACATTACATGGACAGCA